ATCAAGCCGGAAGATCTAAGCACGTCGGAGCAGTTTTTTGACAGAAGGAGTGTCTCTTCTCGCTCCCCATGCGAATCCGAGGGAAGTAGAGAGTTGCGGAGGGGGGAGGGAGAGGAGGGGAGAGGGAGAGTGCCATCCCTGTCTGCAAGTGCAAGCGGGCTTCCCATGAAGATCAAGCGCGACACAAGGAAGTCCTACATGTAACACGTTTGTCTTATCTTGTCAATTTGCCGCATGGCGGGCAGCAGCAGCAGCGCGCTCTTCATGCCACTGCGCACGTGCGGTGGCCGAGGGCCGATCGAGCTGGCGCACCGCATCGTGCTGGCGCCGCTGACGCGCAACCGTGCGAGCGAGCCGAACTTGTGCGCGCACGCCGCACATGCCGAGTACTACTCGCAGCGCGCGAGCGCCGGCGGGTTGCTCATCACCGAGGCCACGTCCATCTCGCCCGAGGCCGTCGGCTACATGAGCGTGCCCGGGCTGTGGACGGACGAGCAGGTGACTGCGTGGCGCGCCGTGACGGACGCGGTGCACGCCAGGGGCTGCGCGATCTTCTGCCAGCTCTGGCACACGGGCCGCGTCTCGCAGCCCAGCTACGGCGAGCACCCGCTGCTCCGCGCGAGCGGCAGGCCGCTGCCCAGCGTGTCGGCGTCCCCGCTGGCCATGGTCCACCCGAAGACGGGCAAGCCGCTGCAGACCGTGACGTACCGCGGCGCCGAGGAGTGCGCGGCTCCACGCGCGCTGGAGACGGACGAGGTGGGGTCGCGGCTCGTCGGCGACTACGAGCACGCGGCACGCAACGCGATGCTCGCCGGCTTCGACGGTGTGGAGCTGCATGCTGCGCACGGCTACCTTGTGGACCAGTTCCTGCAAGACGGCACCAACCAGCGGACGGACCGGTACGGCGGGTCTGTGCAGAACCGCTGCCGGCTGCTGTTCGAGCTCTGCGCGGCGCTGCAGCGAGTGGTTGGGCCAGGGAGGCTTGCGGTGCGGCTTTCCCCCACGACCATTGACCCGCGCACCGGGCGGCAGAACCAGCAATATTTCGCGGCGACGTGCTCTGACCCCGACGAGGTGTATGCGCACGCCGTGCGCGGCCTCAACGAGTTTGAGTTGGCGTATTTGTTGCTGTCCGAGCCCCGTTGGTCTGGCCGTGACGACCACGACGTCGTGTCGGACAAGGGCTTCGCGCAGCCGCTGAGCAATACCAAGTTTCGTGCGCTCTTCCAGGGCACGCTCGTGGGTGCCGGCGGCTTCACGCCCGCGACGGCAGCTCAGGCGGTGGCGCAGGGCCACTACGACGCCGTCGCCTTTGGGCGGTGGTTCATTTCGAATCCCGACCTGCCAGAGCGCATCCGCACTGGCGCGCCGCTCAACGTCTACGAGCGCGCGACATTCTACCAAGCCACCATCGAGGGCGGCCACACCGACGGCTACACGACGTACCCGGACATGGCCGGCTCGGTGGGCGTGCCGGGCAAGTACGCGCTCATGGAGCAGCGCGATATCGGCAGTTCGCTCGTGGGCAGCAGTAGTGCCAGCGCCTCGGCCAAGCCTAAGTCCAAGCTCTGATGATTCCGAGATTTGTCATTAGTCATGGGATCCTGTTGGCGGTCGAACAACGTGTAGTTTTTGTAGAGGAGGTATTTCCAGCGGCGCAGCATTGGCCCGCACGGGCGGAAGGCACTCGCTGGTGTCTGAGATGCAGTCTACGTATTCCTCACCTGCGAGCTCGAAGGGCGCCCCGCCGCTGAGTTCAACGTGCATGATGGGGAATGCCTTGGCGTAGGTGCTGGTGCACTCCCACTGCGGGTCTTGCTTGTCAGTGGTGGCGGTACACATGTATGCCTTCCCCCGATATTGTGCCGCGGAGCCGTACAACACTCCGTTTTTGCCTTCAGGTGCATTGTGCCTGGCTCTGCCAGCCGTACATCTCCTGAGTTTCCTGGATGACCTGCATGTCGTCACCTGCCGCCCCCTCTCACCGCGAACCGCCGCATTCGGTAGCAAATCATGGGAACCTCGTATACCTTCGTCACTCCGCCTTTAGAGTGCGTCAGCGTCGAGTAGCGTCCGATAGTCGATGGCGCCGATTTAGCGTCGACTAGTGTCGATGAGCGTCGATGAGCGCCGATTCATCGTCGATCAGCGTCGACTCGCAAGAGCCAACACGAAGGTATGGGAGGCTCCCATAAATCGCCGCAGAAGCCGCACCCGCACGCTCCTATACCCCTGCTGCTCCCCCACGTGGTCTGATGGCCCCGCCCTTGTGCGCTGCCACCGCGCCCCCCGCCCTTCACCTCGCCGCCGCCCTCGCTTCCTCCTCTGCTCCCTCCTCCGCCAACTCCGCGCCTCCTGCTCCTACACCCGCCAGAAATCTTGAGGAACAGCAGGAACTTTGGTCGACTCCAGATTTCGTTGACGAGAATCAAGAATCTGGACTGGACCCTGGGCATTTTCTTGGATCTCCCTGTTTCGTAGAACTTCCTTAGACCTGGACCTGGACTACTGTTTCAGACATCGCTTCGCGTGAAGTCAAATTTCTCAGCGTAGATTTTTCCTAACCATCAGCAGGGGTGTACTCGCCTTGCCACTCCCAGCCTGCTGCCCGTGTAAGCTGGTGTTCTGGCACACTTTTTGGCGGTCGCGGCTTCGCGAGCAGAGGTGGAGTCAATCGAGCAAGCGGCATGGAACTAACGCGCGCGGCCGGGTCCTCAGCCGCTGGACCACTTTGAGTCCCGCCCAAAGGCCACCCGGGTAGTAACGCTCCCGCACTCGCGTACAAGATCTTCACTGCCTGAGCGTGCTCCGCCGCCCTTGGCTTCCTCCTTCCTCCGCCGCCCGTGGCTTCTTTCCCGTGTGCCCAATTAGGCGCCGATGCGTCCCTCGGCTGTTCCGACCGCGTCTTGGACCCAAGTCGCCGCTGACAAGACGCTCACTGAACGGCTCTAACCGCGTAGGCACCCCCGCGTAAGCTGCCCGTGTGCGGCCGCTCGATGGCGCCTCTGGTGCCGCCGCGTGCGCGGCTTGCGTAAGCTGTCGCGCAGTGTCGTCGCATCCTCTTGCGCACTTCGCCGCGCTGATGGGACGTCGCCGCACTTTCCATCGCTAACAAGCCCGGCCAAGAACTCGGTGGGCGGATGACATTGTGAAGTGCACGAACACTCTGGAATGGTTCAGTATCGCTTCCACTGCTGAGTGGGAACGCCTTGAGGCTGGCTTCTTGTCTCTTGCCAGAAATTCTTTACGCTTCGCGTATCCCCACCAGCCCATCTCAAAACAGCAACTCTTGCGAAGTATGCCGACAGTCGTGTTTTTCAGGCGTGTTTCCGCCTGCCCCCGCATATCTCCCCTGTTCCTCCTTCCTCCCGCCTCCTTGTACATCCTCCTTGTGGTGGGAGCGGGAGAAGGACGAGGCGGAGGAGGAGGGAGAGAAAGCGCTCCTCGTGGTTTGAGTCGTTTGGGGTTTCTCGTCCTGGTGTGAGTCGTTCGGGCCCTTCTTCCTGGTGTGAGTCGTTCGGGCTCTTCGTGGTGTGAGTCGTTCGGGCTCTTCGTCCTGGTGTGAGTCGTTCGGGCTTCTCGTGGTGTGAGTTGTTCGGGCCCCTCGTCCTGGTGTGAGTCGTTCGGGCCCCTCCTCCTGGTGTGACTCGTTCGGGCTCCTCGTGGTGTGAGTCGTTCGGGGCCCTCGTCGTGGTGTGAGTCGTTCGGGCTCCTCGTGGTGTGAGTCGTTCGGGCGCCTCGTCCTGGTGTGAGTCGTTCGGGCCCCTCCTTCTGGTGTGAGTCGTTCGGGCTCTTCGTGGTGTGAGTCGTTCGGGCCCCTCGTCCTGGTGTGAGTCGTTCGGGCTCCTCGTGGCGTGAGGCGTTCGGGCACCTCGTCCCCTTTTGGGGCGTCTTGGGGGCCTCTTGGCGGCCCCAGGGGCTTCTAGGAGCGTCTTGGGTGCCTTGGGGGAGCCTCTTCGGGCCTCTTGGGAGCCTCTTGGAGGCCGTTTGGGGCGTCTTGGGGGCCTCTTGGCGGCCCCAGGGGCTTCCAGGAGCGTCTTGGGTGCCTCGGGGGAGCCTCTTGGGGCCTCTTGGGGGCCTCTTGGGGGCATCTTGGGGGCCTCTTGGAGGCCTCTTGGGGGCCTCCTGGGGGCCTCTTGGGGCCATCTTGGGGCCTCTTGGTGCCTCCTGGGCGCTTCTTGGGGCCATCTTGGAGGAAATCGATCAAAGAAGAGGGGAGCTGTAATGAGCGCTGCCCCCTCAGAAGGGCAAAATGAGGCCAAAACCTTCGTAAAATCAATGATTTTGCCTTGAAAGAAGAGGGGGGCTTTAAGGAGCGCGGCCCCCTCAGAAGGCCAAAATGGGGCCAAAACCGTAGTAAAATCAAGGATTTTGGCTTCAAAGAAGAGGAGAGGGTTTTTTCTGCTCCCCCCCGTCGGGGCCAGAATCCTCGTGAGGGGTGTCGTTTTTTAGCCCTCCCAGGAGTCGAAAATGACCCCCTTGACGACCCGCGGAACCCCCTCTCCAGGTCCAGGGGGAGGGGGTAGGGGGAGGGGTAAACCCCTCCCCGAAGGGGAAGAAGGGGGGTTGAGAACAGAGCGGGCTCTCTAAACCACTCACGCCCAAAGGGCTGGTGGGATTGGATTTTCCAGTGTTTCACCACATTGCGTCTGTAATGCTTCCTGGGGTGCTCCGGCCCCCCCCCCCCGCGTAGTCCCCTCGTGTGGACTCGTGCGCGCGGGTTCTCTGTCTCTGTCCAGGCCAGGAGGGAATTCCGGTTCTGCCTGGCCTGCTCTGCTCTGCCCCGTTCTGTCCTAATCTGCAGTGGCCTGCGGGCACGCGCGTTGGTGTGTGTGTGTGTGTGTGTGTGGGTGTGTCCTTGCTCTGCCTGGTCTCGGCGCTCCCCACCGCTGCCGATGTCGGGGTCCCTTCCCGTCTGCGCGGGTCGAGGTTCTCTGTGCGCTCGTGTCTTTCCCGCCCCTCCGCCGCCTCTCCTTGGCCGCTCTCGTCCTGCTCTGCCT